AGGGAGCAAAAATATACATTGGAGAAAGGAAAATCTCTTCAATAAATGCTACTGAAAAGCTGGGTGTGGTGGCACACGCCTGTAATCCCAGCACTCGGGAGGCTGAGGCAGGAGGATCGCTGTGAGTTGGAGACCAGCCTGGGCTACATAGTGAGTTCCAGGTCAGTCTCAACTACATAGTGAGACCCTGTCTCAGAAATCAAAAACAAAAAACAAACAAATAAATGCTAATGAGAAAACAATGCCACGTGCAGAAAAATGATACCAGACCCTTATCTCTCACCATTTACAAATACCAAATCAAAATGCATTAAAGACTTAAGTATAAGATCTGAAATTACTAAACTACTAGAGAAAATGCTTTGAGAAATTAGTCTGGCCAAACTTTCATTGGATAAGATCCCAAAAGCACAGACACCAAAAGCAAAAATTGATAAATGGGATTAGGACTATATCAACTTAAAAGCTTCTGCCTAGCAAAGGAAACATGAAAAAGCTAAATAGACAACCCAGAGAATAGGAGGAAATATTTCCAAACTGTCCATCTGGAAGGGATTACTATGGAAACATTTGCAGGACCACAGAAAGAAAAAGAAAATGAAAACAATGCCCATCATCACTGATCATCAGGGAAACCCAGATCAACCAAAGCTACCATGTGAGATAGATGGTATCTCAGTTAGCATGGCTCTCATCGAAGGCCCTCTAAAATGCTGCAAAGAGTGAGGCGAGAGGGAATTTCATACTGATTGTGTGAATGTAAATTAGTATAGCTATTATTGAAAATCATGTAGTGGTTTCTCAGAACACTAGAAATAAACTGGGCATGGTGGTGTATTCCTGTAATCCCAGAACCAGAGAGGCTGAAGCAGGAGCATCTCTGTGAATTCAACAGCAACCTGGGCTACACAGTGAGTTTGAGGCCATCTTGAATGACAGCTGCGTGTGGTGGCTCACACCTGTAATCCCAGCACTCAGGAGGCTGAGTCAGGAGGATTGCGGCAAGTTTGAGGCCAGCCTGAACTACATAATGAGTTCAGGTTCAGCCTGAACTAGGAAGTGAGACCCTGTCTCAAAAATATGTAGCAAGACCTTTCCTCAGAAAATAAACTAATTAACTAACTAGAACTAGATCTATCATATGACACAGAAACTCCATTACTGGCAATATACCTACAGGAAATGAAATTGGTATGCTGAAGAAATATCGGTGCTTGAATGTTATTACAGCACTATGCATGGCAGCCAAGATATAGAATCAATTTAAGTGCCCTTCTACAGATAAATGGAGAAAATATACTTGGAGCTGAGCATGGTGGTGCATGCTTGTAATCCCGGAATTTGTGAGACTGAGGCAAGTTCAAGGCCAGCCTAGACTACCTAGCAAGACCCCATTTCAAAACAAACAAACATAGTATGCTTGAAATACACACACACACACACACACACACACACACACACACACACAGAGTACTAGTCAGCCACAGAAAGAACACAACTCTGTCATTTGCAGCAACATGAATGAACATGAATGGGACTAGAGGTGAAAGAAGTTAGGCACAGAAAGACAAATACTGCAGGTTTTCACTATTGCATGGAAGCTGAAAAAGTGACCTCATAGAAGTGGAGAGAAAAAAAGTAGAGAGTAAAACAATGGTTGCTTAAACCAGACATGGTTGCACACACTTGTAATCCCAGCACTCAGGAGGCTGAGACAGGAGGATTTAGGTAAGTTCAAGACCAGCATGAATTACATAGAGACCCTATCCCAAAACACAAACAAAAAGGACTGGGGATTTTAGCTCAGTGGCACCATGCCTGCCTCACTAGTGCAAAGTCCTGAATTCAATCCCCAGTTCCGAGAGAGAGAGAGAGAGAGAGAGAGAGAGAGAGAGAGAGAGAGAGAGAGAGAGAGAGAGAGAGAGAGAGAGAGAGAGGGAGAGAGAGAGATTGCTAGAGCTAGAGAAAGGTATGAAGGAGGAGGGAATGGGGAAATGAGGGTTCATACAGGAGTCAGCAGGGTAGGAGAATAATAGTGTATAGCACAGTAGGCTAAATGTGGTCAACAATTAATTGAATGTGTCAAAAGAGCAGAGATTTTTAATGTTCTCATCATCAAATATTAAATGTCTGAGGTGACAGATATTCCAGTTATCCTCATCTGACCATTGTACCTTCTATGTGGAAGTATTGAAATATCATATTGTACCACATAAATATGTACATTAAGTGTCAATTAAAATATATTTTTAAATAACATTTTCATGTATCTCCCCCAGTCTAGTCATGGGGATCAAAACCAGGTTCTCCAACATGCTAGGCAGGTTTGTGCCATCAAGGTACACCCCAAGTCTATTTAAACTTAAAGATTCTTTTAAAAGAAAAAAATGCCCAAGAAGTAGAACCTGAGAATTCTGGGAAAGGACTATATAGCCATCTTTTATACACACACGCACACACACACACACACACATACATACGTGGGTTTGTACCAGGGATCGAACTCAGGACCTTGGGCTTGCAAGGCAGGCAGTGAAACCACTAAGCTAAATCCCCAGCCCAATATATTGATCTATAATTTTTATCATAGGCAGTGATTTCTCTTGCTTTTCACCTTATTACTTTCTATAATACTCATTACTTTCTATGACAATAGAGTGTGATAGCTCACACTTTTTTTTTTCACTTTTTTTTGGGGGACAGGGTCTCTTTGTATAGTTCAGGCTATCCTTGAACTGCGATCATCCTGCCTCAGCCTACTGAGTGCTGGGATTACAGGCATGTGCCGCCATACCTAGCCTGCTTTGTTTTGCATGCTGGGGTTCAAACACAGGGACACACTGCTAGTGACCTACTTCCCTAAATCAACTCACTATGTAGTTCTGGCTGATCTTGAACTTGTGGTAATCCTCCTGCCTCAGCCTCCCAAGAGTGGGATTGCAGGCATGTGCCACTATGCTCGGCTTATCTTTAAATTTTGGAACAGGGTCTCACCAAGACCCTGAATTGTCTGGAAAGGCTCACACTTTCAATCTTCATGCCTCAGCCTGCTGAATAGCTGGGACTGCAGTTGTGTGCCACTGTACAGGCTTCGCCTCTGCTTTTTGCAACATCAAATTTATCAGCATCCTGACTGTCGATCCCACTTTGCCTGGAATCTTACTTGTGTTCCAACCCAGTGAGATTGAATATCCCCAGACAACATTCACTATTTTTAATAGTTAATTTATGTTAAAATATTTTGCAACTTTTGCAATTGAGTTAAAAAAAAATGACTTTCAGGATGCAAAATTGGCCTCTGCTTCTCATTGGAGTCCATGGGTTTATACCGAAAGGTATAAATCATTTTTTAAAAAATGATTTCTAAATGCAGTGCTTTGATAAATAAATTGCCCCAGCTCTTCGACGCAGACAGGGCTGGGGGAGGGTATCTGTCTGCTTCCTTGGCTCGCTTCTCCCAGGGCCTGGCCTTGAGGGCTGCTGGCCTGGGCCCTCTGTGCCGCGTCCACTGGGCCGCCCCTCTGAGGTGACACATGCATGCGAGAGCCCTTGTCAAGCGCGAGGCGCTCTGGAGGGCCACTGGCTGTCCCTGTCACGCTGGGAGGAAGCCCACACCCGCTAGGCCGGCCAGCCGAGTCTGCGAGGCTCTGCGAGGCTCCCGGCACAGGCTCCCTGCGCTGCGCCCCTCTCCTGCTCAGCAGTGGCTTTCCCAGTCCGTCCTGGTTGCCCGGCCTTCCTCCGGAAGGAAACCTCAGTTCAGGGAAAGTTCTCGAGCAGCTGAGCTCGGCCTCCCTGGGCCCTCCTGGGCCCACTTCCCGGCCCTCCCCTCCCCGTGCCCAGTGGAGCCGGCTGCCCCGGAAGCATCTGACCGGCAGTTTCCTAGAATTGTCTCCCTGGAGCTCCTGGTCATCCAGCTCCCCACCCACCTTCTCTGCCTCATCCCAACGCCTCCTTCCCCCACGCCAAGGGCCTCTACACGTCCCAGCCCACATCCTGCTCCGACTTCTCAGAGCCCCAGTCCTGTCACAGCCCTCCTCTTTGGGGGCTGCTACTCCTGGAAGGAAGACTTGGGGCATGGAAGTCAACGCAGCCACCAGGGGCCACAGGAAGTTGAGCGGGCCACGGTTGCCGGGGCAACCATCTTTCCTTAGACCCCCCCCCCCAGTGTTTTTCATCCTCAGCTTGGCTGGTGAGCAGGACGTGACCAGGCCAGCTCCCTCTCCCAATAAATCAAGCCTGGCCTGCCAAAAGGGGCGGACAGGAAGCACACAGCATCCGGAAGAGGCTGGATGGAAGGAAAACAATATATCCTCTCTCCACCCTTCAGCCCACCACTGCCAGGGGAGTGGGCCTTGTAGCCCTCTGCTGCCCCCAGGTCCACTTGGCATGGCCTCCCGGAAGAGCTAGGAGGTCAGGGGCGAGGCCTGTCCACTTGATGGATGGTACTGAAGCAATGTCTGGCACTTTCTTTCCCCATGGGGGAGGTAAAGCTACAGCCACCTCTCCCCTGCATTCCTGCTGCCTGCCTAGGAAGGGGGTGGGCTGGGTGGCTGGAGCAGGGAAAGGAGGGTCCTGAGCCCGGCAGAGGCAGCTGGCACTTACACATTCGTCTACACTACGCGCGTACCCACCTCCCGGCCGCCAGGCCTCTCTCCGGTTCAGCGCACACCAATCCTGTTACCCTGTCTTCTGTATGCCAGCCACTGGCCGAGGGAGCAGTGCTCTAAGTGTGCACCTCGGGTCCTGCGGGGTCACTCGAGGGTAGTGAAGGCACAGTCAAGCGGTCTTCGTGACAATCCTGCACACCTGCCTTTGCGGCTGTCGACACTGGTACGGCCACTGTACAAACCATGGGGTCACCTGCCAAGTGCTTCATCTAATACCAAGGCAGTGGCCAAGCTCTCACCACACTCTTCCCTGCCCAGGCTGAGGAGGGTAGCTCCTTGATAAAGCAGTAAAAAAGCATGAACAGGTAATACATTTATCATTCTTATCTTAAGTGAATGAATAAAGACTTTTAAAACGATTTCCGATACAGCATGTGGACAGATGGATCGCACACCACTGGCTCGTTGGGACTCCCCGGGAAGCCTCCGCTGCGCTAAAGGCCATGGTGACGGCAGCCCTTCCCAGGCCTTGCATTCTCAGTGGAGAAAGTCTCTGCGAAGCAAAGGGTGGCGTGCCGGCCTCCCCGCTGGCAGTCCCCCGCCTCAGAGAGCGGCTGTCACTGCGAATGGCGCTGCCGGTGGTCTCTGCCCAGGAGCAGCAAGGTGTGTAGCGGGCGTCTGCACATCCGTGATCACGGCAGGGTGCAGGGCAGGCGGTGGGGACAGGCTGGAACTGGAGGGGCATCCGTGGCCCTGGTGGGCAGCGTCAAAGCCGGTTTCCCAGCCCACAGTTCACCTCGTACCCTCTTCACATCCCCTCCAGGGTGCCACCCTCTCCTCCCACAAGTCACAGCGCAGCAAGGGTGAAGTGTGCACCCCGTCCATCAGCGCCGAGCTCTCCACATCCCAGTCCTCTCAGGGGTCTCGCCGGGTGCCCTCACCGGGCCAGCAGAGCTGAGCTGCTCACACCCCCCCAACCCTGCGCGGAGGGGCAGGGCGCGGCTGGCCCAGGCAGGAGGTGCAGCGTACAGAGGGCGGCAGCTCAGCCGTGAGTGCTGCTTCCCCGCTCCCCCAGGAGCCAGTAGGTGCGCACCTTGCCTTTGCCCTGGAGGGGGAGAGAGGAGGCTGGGATGGCCAGTGGCACACCCACCTCCCGCCGGCAGAGGCCAGGGAGGGCAGCGGCCTGAGCGGTGGCTGCTTGAGAAGGGCGACCCCCATGGGCCCCAGGGGCAGTCAGGCCAGAGCTCCCTCTCTACCTTCATTTCTACATCCCCTCGAAGCTCCAGCTCAAAACCATCGAACTCCTCCAGGATGGCCTTGGTCTCAGAAGACAAGTGTATCTTCAGGGCTGGAGAGAGTGGGGAAGGGAGGTGAGGGGCACCTGGGATGCGGGCTGTGAGGTGCGGAAGAGGCTGGGGACTCTGCGTGGACAGACGGCCCCTCCGTCACCTCCTCCCTGTCCCGTGTGACCACACTGGCCCCTACGGGACTTGAGGGCTGTGCGATCCAACACGGTAGCCGCTAATCACACATGCTGTGCCTACTTCAAATTGAATACACTTAACATTTCACCATTTTTGTATTTTGGTACTGGGTATCGAACTCAGGTTCTTCCACTTGCGAGGCAGGTGGCAGAACCACTGAGCTAAATCCCTGGCAAATACACTTACAATTTAGTGCCTTAAATTAGGCATGGTGCCATGCACCGGCTTCTCAGCACTCAGGAGACTAAGGAGCAGGACTGCTTTGAGTTCAAGGCAAATGTGGGATACATAGCGAGAGCAAGGCCATCCTGCACTATGGAGAAAGACCCTGTCTCGAAAAAACAAACCAAAACAAGAGAAAGAAAGGAAGAAAGGAAGGAAGAGAGAAACAAATTAATTCAGTGCCTGAGCTGCACTAGATACAGTTCAAGCGATTGTCCCATGACTAGAGGCTGCGGTGCCGGACAGTGCAGACCCAGGAACACTTCCAAAACCGTGCCACTCTGGAGCATCGCCCGCTCCAGCGGGCAGAATGGGCCCTGCTCTCTGCCTCCGTGCACTGCCAGCTGGGCCACGCGCTTAAACGTGCCTCACTTTCCTAATCTGTGAAATGCTCATAGTGATAGCACCTGTTCTGAGGATTGAATTTAACATTTGGGCTAGAGAAGTAGCTACTTCTGTGATGCAGTGCCTGCCTGACTCCCCCAGTACTGCAATAATAAAAAAAAAATATCTGGATTTGATCACCCGCACTGCAAAACAAACACTCAGGAAGTATTTGAAAAGAATGTGCACTACACAACCGGTCCCGTCGCTGTTATTCTTGCTCAGTGGTCACTTCATGGCTGAGCCGCGCTGAGGGTGGGCAGTCACTGCTGGGGGGCCAACCCCGTGCCTCTGTGCTTCTCTCTGAACTCATGACCTCACTTCTGGGGTCTGCATGGCGGCAGCCTTGTGTTGCTGAGCCTTTTCTGGGAAGGAGCTCCCAGAGGCATGTGAGGAATGGACCTCAGCGGGAGGCTCTCCTACCCCAGGCCCAAGGCGGCCCCAGAGAATATCTGCTGAGCAGCTCCCTTGCAGCCCTGGCTCTGCAGTAGCCCTTCTCTCCCTGTGAGCCCGGGTGGGGTCCACACAGGCTCCTCGGCTAACTCTGGGCCTGTCAGTTGGTCAATATTTTCTGAACTGAAGCCGGGTGTGGTGGCACATGCCTGCACTCCCAACGCTGAGGAGGCTGAGGCAGGAGGATCACCAAAAGTTCAAGGCCTATCTAGTCTACACAGTGATCTCAAGGCCAGCCTGAACTACACAGCAAGAGTGTGTCTCAAAAAGTAAATAAATAAATAAAAATTAAATATTTACTGAATTGAACTGGGTCAAATACAGGAGGACAGACAAGAAACAGCAAGCAAGGCCAAGGAAGAGGTCAAAACAAACATTGATCAGAAACCTGCTGTATGCCAGAGGTGGTGCTAGGGTTTTTTGCGGGGATGTGGTCTGAGGCAGGTTCTCACTGTGTAACTCATGCCGGCCTCACACTCTTGGTGATATTCCTGCCTCAGTCTCCCAAGATCTGGGATTACAGGCGTGCGCCTCCATGCGCGCTGAGCTCATCTTGCCCTGGGCTAGTGATGTGCAGTCAGTACTCTCCTGTGGTTCTGGACAGCGGCAGTGACCACGGGGAAAAAGCCGGACCTCTGGATTGTACTGTGCTGCTGACATTTTTCTGGAGATCGTGTTTTGTTCCCACCTCGTGAAATGTTCAACAAGACTTTTATAAAATGGGCTCCTAGATGGTTTTGCCCCTTAGCTGGTGGCAGGGCTCTGAGCACACTCGGGGAGCCAGGCTCCGTCTCGGGGTCCTGCAGGTAGGAACGTACTTACAACTTGCAAGGTAACCTGTAGGTGGAGGCGCCTTGTGCTGAGAAGGGAGCGGGGCAGAGAGCGTGAGGCCTGAGCGCAGGGCCCGGGCAGGACCCCCCGGCCTCCCCTCCCTCCAGGAGGGCACCGTACCTTCCCCATTAGATTCCATCCTCGAAGCCGTGTTGACTGTGTCTCCGAAGAGGCAATAACGGGGCATCTTCAGGCCCACGACGCCAGCACACACGGGCCCTAGAGGGCAAGGCCGGGACACAGCCGAGCTCCAGAGGGGAGGCAGGCAAGGGCTCAGGGCCCCTCGGCACCGCCTCCTCCCGCAGGTCCCGGGCCTCACCCGTGTGGACGCCTACGCGCAGGCGCAGCTGCTCCTGCGGCCGGTGCCGGATGCGGAAGGAGCGCACAGCCTCCAGCAGCGCCAGGGCCATGCGGGCCACCTCACGGGCGTGGAGCCGCCCATTTCGAACCGGGAGCCCTGAAACCACCATGTAGGCGTCGCCAATTGTCTCCACCTGGGGTGTACGGAGGCAGCAAGATGAGGCGAGCCCGAGGCTGGGACTCGTCCTGTGCCACCTGCGCACCTTGCTGTGTCCTCACCCCCACCCTGCGGCTGCCGCCCGTCCCTGGGTCCCCTATCCAGGTCTCTGCCCACACTCCCAGGCTCTCTCGCTGCCTGCCCCTCACCTTTTTCTTCTGGCTTTATCTGTGCCTCTGTGCCTGTCCCTTCCCATCCCTACGGCTTCCCTCACCTTGTAGACGTCAAAGTTGTCTATGACAGCATCAAAGCAAGTGTACAGGTCATTGAGCAGGGTCACCACCTGGACGTCGGGAGAAGCCAAGAGGGATGGGAGTCAGGCCCTTGCCCGACCCGAGGGGCAGATGCCCCGCGTGGCCAAGCCTTGGCTCACCTGCATGGGCGTGCTCTCCGCAGACAGTGCGGTGAAGCCCACGATGTCACTGAAGTAGATGGTCACGCTATCAAAGGCTTCCGCCTGGACCGTCTCCCCGCGCTTCAGCTGCTCGGCCACCGAGCTAAGGGCAGGGCGGTGCAGAGCAGAGGGTGTGGGGACGGGTGGCAGCGCGCAGGCCTCCCGGTCCCGGGCTGGGCACTCACTGCGGCAGGATCTGGTAGAGCAGGGCCTCAGCCTTGCGCTTCTCCTCCAGGTAGGCCTGGGTGCGCTCCTCCACCAGCTCCTCCAGGTTGTTGGCGTACTGCTCCATGCGAGACAGCAGGTTGTCCAGGATGTTGCTGCTGTGCTCCCTGCGGGTGGCGCGGGTGTGAGGGCCCACGCTGCCGGGGAGTGCCGGCCTGGCACAGCGGGACCCAGTGGAAGGCAGGAAGCGGGCGGGAGAAGTGCCGATCAGGCCCAAGACCCCAAGACCCCGGGTCAAGTTCGGACGCAGCAGCCCCGTCTCCTTCACGTTTGCTGAGCGTGAGTGAGTTAGGAGGAGGTGAGGGGAGACGCGGTGAGGGCGAAGGGACAGGAACACGGGCAGAAGGGGCCTGTGCCTGGGAGAACTGGTCCCAGGCAAGGGGCTCACTGGGAGAGGGAGGCCACAGTCAGGGTGGGAGCGCGTGGGAGGGTCTGGAAGGAATGGAGGCCGGGTGCGTGGGCAAAGGACTGCACACCAAAGTGCAGTCGGAAGGGCGCAGGGTGCTGATGTTGCTGGGGAAAGTGGGGCGAACGGCAGGGACGGGGGATGCCTGGACACGCAGTATTTACAGAGGGCTGGGTGGGCTGGGTCTGCTGCGGTAGGGACAGACTCATGGCCGGGGCAGTGCGGACAGAGTGGGGTCTGCGACGGACACCACTGACCTGTTAAACTTGCGCAGCGTCAGGCGGATCTGCTGGAAGGGTGGCCGCTCCTGCGGGTCCTCAGCCCAGCACCGCTGCATCAGCTGCCCCAACTCCTCCACGTGGCTCTGCAGGGCCAGGGAGGGCCGGAAGGGGGGCTGCTCACCCCGGGTCACGCGCTCAATGACCTCTGTTGTGGGAAAAGAGGGGACGAAAGGTGGGACTGGCCAGGGGCATCGAGGGAGTCAGAGACGCCGGCTGGGGTGGACTGGGCAGGGGCTGGGCAGCAGGGAGGGTCCCTGCAGCAGTGGACCAAGCTGGTGGCCGGGCCCCTCAAGAAGGAAGGGGTAGGATGCCTCCAGGGTCCCCCTCCTAGGGCCGGGGTGGTCGAGACTACGGCAGGGCTGGAGGACAGTGTGGTCCACTCACCTTTGGGGCTGAGATCCAGACCTTCGACGTGGAAGACCCCGCTCCTCAGGGCTATCTCCTGAAGGATGATGCCAAAGCTGTACACGTCTCCAGCCTGGGAGCCTCGGGCAGGGGGAGAAGCCATTCGCAGGAGCTCAGGGGCTGTCCACAGCTTTTCTGTGGGTCGGGGGTCAGGGGTCACAGAGCTGAGGGATAAGGGACTGCACATCCTACTGGGAAAGGAAGGCTAGCGAAGGGATATAATACGCTGTGACAATAATAAAAGTCAGAATGGGGTGCTAATGCCAAGGAAAACGTAGGGAGGGCTGGGGAACTCTGAAGAGCTGTGGCCAAGGCAGGTCTGAACATTTCAAAGAGGCGGCCAGGCTGCGTGGTGTGGCCCCTCCCTGTTCACCAATGAGAACAGCCTGGACTCAGTGCCCCCCTGGGCTGTGCTGGCCACAGGGGAGGACACAAGAGTTGTGCTCACTGGCATAGAGGCTGTGTCCTTGCTCTGGCTCTGGGTCTCGGAAGCTCTCCAAGCCGTAGTCAGTGATCTTAAGCACAAAGCGCCCGTCTACCACGCAGTTGGAAGACTTGAGGTTCCCGTGGGAGCAAATGGCCCCGTTGTGTAGAAACAGCATCCCCTGGGATTCCGGGAGGCAGAGTGGAACTAAGCCGTGGCCAGCCAGAGAAGCGGCCCAGCCCGGCCCTCCCGCCCCTCTGGGCCCACCTTGACGATGTCGTTGGTGAGTGAATACCGGAACATCCAGTCCAGGGTGATGCTGTCGTTCTCTAGGATGTCCTGTGGGGCGGGAGTCAGACTGGACCTGTGGCCCAGAGTGGGAGGCGGGCGGGGCCATAGACACTGACTGGCAGAGCAGGGCAAGACTTTGGGTTCACTTCCATGCCGTCCCCCTCCCTGCTCCCACTTTACAGCACGGCGCAGCCCAGGCCGGCCTCTCACCTGCAGGCTCCCTCGAGGACAGTACTCCGTGAGGATGCAGATGTTGGGGGGGTCGGTGCAAGCACCCACAAACCTAGTCAGGTGCTCATTCTGTACATCCCGCATCTGCAGAGGCAGCGTCAGGGCTGCAGAGTGCTCCCACCTCGCCAGGCTGCCCTCTGGCCTCAGCAGCCCCTCAGCTTGGGACCATGGCGCAACTCCCGCCCGAGCTCTTCAGCCCACACCACCCTGGAGCAGCACACCGCATGCAGAGACCACCAGGCCCCCAGCAGTCTCTCGAGGGCCCACCCCGAGCCTGCAGACCCAGCTTTCCCAGGACTCCAGGTCCTGATAACCAGCTGTCCACCAGGCCCCGGTGTCCCCCTGATCTGCCCAGGGCCACACTCCCCACATACGTGCTTCAGTTCAAACAGGACTTCCCGTGTCAGCTCTATGCGTTTACGGTTCACGTGTTTCACAGCCACGAGATTGCCCTGAGAAAGAAATACCCAAAATGTAAACAAAGCTGGGTAACAGAAGGCAAGGGGATCTTTTTCAAATGGGAAGGGGACAAGAAGTGGAGGGAGGGTGTGGGAAAAGGGTCGAGATGTGTTCTGTACAGATAGCAACTCCACAAGGAGTGTTGTCACTGTGGACCAAACGTGGTAATAAAAAATAAAAACTGAGGGAAAAAAGGAGGCTTCCACTGAGCCGAGCACCAGTGCTGCCCAGGCACGGCGGGACTCCCCTAATGCTCCCAGAGCACGCCACCACCCAGCGCTGGGCTCCACCTTGTAGTAGGCTGTCTTGGCGTAGACCTGGAACTGGCCCTCCGTGGTTTGCAGGGAGCCGTAGTTGGAGCCTCTCTGGGGGTGGAGAGCAGGAGGCAAGGTCAGTCCAGGGCCATCTGCATCCAGTGAAGCCAGAGGTGTCGGCTCTGGTCTTCCATTTATTTATTTATATGGGGTAATGGGGAAGGAACCCAAGGCCCTCACACTTTTTACTATTTAGAGGTAGGGTCTCACTAAGTTACTTGAACTTGCAATCCTCCTGCCTCAGCCTTCCAGAGTGCTGAGATTACAGGCAGGTGCCACCATACGGGTCAAGAGCTCTAGCTCTTATCTTTGCATCATTGTCCTCTGTATTCCTCACCATGAGACCTTCTCGTTTACTTGCTTTTTATTTGTGCTTTCACATGTACTACTCCCAAAATCGCCGGAACTGGGATTGTCACTGAGCCTCCTCCAGGGACTGTCACAGCCAGTGAAGGCGGGGCTGGGCTCTCAGATCTCTGCAGGCTCACCCCGCTCAGGGTCAGTCGGCTGCCTGCGCTCCGGAGGTGCTTCTCCATGCTGCTGGGCTGCACGTCCTCCCAGCGTACCCGCCACAGCTCCGAGGCCAGCTCCTTCTCCAGCTGCATCTTCCTGGGACATGGAGCCTGCAGCTGAGCTCAGGTCTGAGCCCAACCTCGGGGGTGCTGAGGAGCCCCCCAGGGCCCAGGGCCATGCCAGGTCCCAAGATGAATGGGACATCTCTCCCTGGGTCAGGCCAACGTGAGCTTCTCCCTCACAGGGACCCTGGGTAGTCACCTCCATGTCCTCCTCTGACCACCAAGGGTGTCTGTACCCACCTCCCAAGAGTCCCTGGCATCCTAGCTGTGCTCCCAGACTGGGTCCGATTCATCCATGGCTCTCAAAAGGGTGACCACAGAACCAGCAGACACTCAGGCAGTGTGAGAACCCTTTCCCATCTTTTCCCCTCCCCTTTGAGGCACTGGATGTTGAAACCAGGGGCTCTCTACCACTGAGCTACAGCCCCAGCCTTTTTATGTTATTTTCAGACAGGGTCTCACTAAGTTGTCTAGGCTGGTTTCACACTTGTGATCCCTTTGTCTTAATCTTCCAAGTACCTGGGATTGCAGGCAGGCACTACCATGCTCAGCTTTATCTCATTCCTATTCCATGAATGAAAAGAAATATTGTGTATGACAGTTGTAGTGGCACACACCTATAAGCCTAGCACTCGGGAGGCTGAGGCAGGAGGATCGCTGTGAGTTCGAGACCAGCCTGGGCTACATAGTGAGTTCAAGGCCAACCTGAATTTCATAGGGAGGCCCTGTCTCCAAAATAAAATTTCTTTTTGGCACAGTCTAAACTGCTAAATTGCCCAGGTTGGGCTTGAAACTGCACTCTTCTACTTTAGCCTCCCAGAGTGCTGGGACTGTAGGCCTATACTTTCAGGCCTTCGGGAGCACAAGAAAAACCAGTCCTAGACCAGAACCCACACTACACTGCTGTCACCCCAACTTCTCTGCTCCATCTAGCACCACCCCACCTCCTAGGCCACATCCATCCCTGCCTCTCTGTATCCTAAGCCTTTTCCCGCCTCCTGCTGGGTCCCCAGCCTCTCGCAGCCTGTGCCACAGCTCACCTATACACAAAGATGGAGACGATCAGGATGCTGAGCACCGAGAGGCTTCCCACCACCGCCAGCACCTCCAGTGTGGAAAAGAGGTCTGCAGGAGAGTCCAAGCCGCAGCAAGAGAGATGTGGGTTAGCTTGAGAGAGAACCTTGTAATAGTCAATCAGTGAGCTGGGATGACGGGTGAAGGGAAGAAACAGGAGGAGGTGCTCTCTCCACAGGAGCCCAGAAGGGAGCAGAGCACCCACTGGATTCCCCTTGGGAAGGAACAGCACCTCCGGATGGGGCACTCACCTTGGCGGCAGGCTGGGTCCTCATTGTCAAAGCCACATTTAGGGACGTCAGGAGGAGGGTACCCCAGGGGCCAGTGTAATTCACGGCCCAGGTGGGCCACCAGCTCCTGGGAGGTCCCGTTGTAGTTCAGCACAACCTATGGGAGGGCAGCGGTGGGTGTGGGCAGGGCCTGGGTGCAGTCTCCTGGGGAGGGGCACCGTCCAGCCTCCCCATGTCTGGGTCCGGCTGTGTCCACTCCTCAGCCAGGTAGACAGGCCTCACCCTCGGCCCGGGGCCTCAGAGCCACCTCCGAAGCCTGCAGTGGAGGTCCTGCCTTGCTATCTTTGGCCTGTCCCTTCCTGTCCCCACTGTACCCCGGAGCGGAGCAGACAGTCCTGGCCCTGAGTCAGCCTGGCTCTGCTTTGAAGGCCCTCCCCGCTCCTGGCAGAGGCCCTGGCAGGGCCCCTGGGGAGCCCAGGGAGGCACGATCTTCTGAGCTGGCACTAACTTCTGCACGCAGGAACGCACCCTGAAGGCACCAGTATCAGGGTCCATATCCCAGAGGGAGAAATCGGTCTCCCGGTCTCCACTGCTGTCGATTTTCATGTATCCTGTCACACCTGTGGGCACGGGGGGGCAGTGGCTGTGTTCTGAGAACGTTAGTTCAGGGATGCCCACTTCATTGCTCTATCCTCGGCCTCCACACACATGCACGTGCAGATGGCACGAGAGGAACAGCGGTATGGGCCCCAGGAAACACAGGAGGCTTTGATGGGGTCTGGCGAGGGGAGGAGGACTGGGGACTGCGGAGGTCTCCGGAGAAGCCGGGAAGACAGCGGTGTGGGGGAGGGGCTACCCGTACTACAGGGGCACCGAGGACCCGCTGCCCCGAGACAGCCCCTTCTTGCTGCCCTCAGGCCCTAACCTGCGAAGCTTCGGTTCCACATCCTCTGAGTGATGTCCTCCCCACTGGTGACAGTCCCCCCACGTGCCAGAGTCTCCGTCACCGCCTGGACATAGAGCAGGAGGCCATCGTGGAAGGACGCTGGGATGATGTTCTCCTGCGGGGCAAGCGGAGCTCAGTGAGGGACGCAGGGAGGACCCACGTGGGGTCACCGGGGGAAGGACACAGGCGGAGAGCCGGGCAGGGGTGCAGAAGCTGGCACCACACCAGAGAGGGGGCTGTGTCTCCACCTGCCTGCCAGGCGGAGTGGGCAGGACCCGTCACCCCAGCGCGACTGTCCCCTCAGTCACACGGAGAGGTACTGGGAACAAGGGGAAGGGACAGAAGGGGAGACGGGGCTCCTGGGACAGCTGAGAGGACAGGGTAGAGACCCGCACAGGGCCACACCGAAGGGCCCCAGGACCCCTCCTACCAGGCCATCCTCCAAGCTGAAGTTGAACTGTTTGTGGGCCACAAGCTTTAGCTGCTTTAGGAATTCCAAGTATTCAGGGTTATCTGGTTCTTTATAGGTAATGATCTTGGCAGCCTAAAGAAAGGGTTTGGTGAGGAGCTGGCTCTAGTTCTTCAGTACCCTGAGGACCCACCTCCCGGGCCTGCCTTTCTGCTTAGGTCAAGGTCAGACTGGACCCCATGTCCAGCATGAGGGTGTGACTCAAGTACTGTCCAATCTGAGACCTTAATGTCCTCCCACTTCAAGCCCATTCTTCATCTTTTGAGACTTCTGACTCTGAAGTCCCTTACCCTTCACTGCCTAACTCCCTATGAGCACCCAGAGCCTCTTTGCCAGGCAGGTTGGTGCACTCTGGGAGGCTGAGGCAGGAGGATCTCAAACTCAAGTCTGGTCAATTCAGCAACTTGGTGAGGCCCTGTCTCAAAACAATAAAATAAAGCCATGCGTGGTAGTGTTCACCTGTAAGCCCAGCACTCAAGAGGCCGAGACAGGAAGAATCACAGCAAGCTGGAGGCCAGCCTGAGCTGCATAATGAATTTAAAGCCAGCCTGAACTACATAGTGAAACCTTGTTTCAAAGCAAAAACAAAATAAATAAATAAGTGCCAGATCGAGCCTTTCCTTTAAAAAATGGGGCGTGTGTTGGGGCAGTAGCTCCCTATGAAGGCTCTGGGTTCAATCTCCAGTATCAAAAAATAAAATAACCTCTTTTCTGGAATCCTTTCAGATTCTCGGGTCACAGTGCATAGAAACAAGATGCTACCAGCCAAGTCCCATAGCCAGGGTTCCAGCCCCGGGCACTCACCTGAAAGGCCCGGCGGGCACTGAGGTCCTGCCCATCCCCTCTCTCCCAGGGCCGGGAGTCGGGGTCCTGCGCACCTCGAAGGCTGTGCCCAAAAATATCCAGGTGGAAGAAAACGTAGTCCTCTCCGCCAAGGCCCTTGTCTTGGGCCAGGAGCATCAGGGTCCTGAAGGCGTCCGGGGAGCTGCAGATGTAGGTGACTGCAGGAGAGCAGGAGTCAGGGCGGGAAGGAGGGTGAGGTGCGCCGCGCGGAGGGGAAAGCGGAGCTGGGGAGAGGGAGCGGAGTGTGGGGCCGGCCGGAGAGGGGAGAGACGCGGCGTGGGAGCGGAGGGCGGAGAGGCTGCGAGCCGAGAAGGTGGAGAGAAAACCGGGAGGGAGGGGACGAGACCCCCGCTGAGGACAAATCAGGCGCCAGAAGCGCGCAGCCCTTTTCTCCGTCCGGTCAAGCCCGGACCGTCAGGGGAGGCGGGAGGCCTAGGAAGCCGGTTGGGGAGTGGCGGGGAGAAAGAGACGGAAACTCCGGGGAAGGAAGGGCC